GCAACGCGGTGGTTGTCGCGCTTTCGGACGTTCCACTGGTTGCTGCTGGTGCTCGACACAGCTGACGGGAAAATTGATGAACGGCGTGCAGCCAGGAAGCCCGTCGACGACCACTGGACAAAGGGAAGCCACTCGACACCAACGGGCACCCTCGTTCGTCCGCGCCTTCTCACCGGACAACAGGCCGCCTCTCATGCGATCGTCATCGACGCGGTGCAGCCTGGCTCCGTGCTCCTCGTCTCCGTCGGCGTCCTCGTCGTCGGTATCTCTGCTCGTACGATTACCAGCGACCGCATCCGTATGACAAATCATGTTCACAGCCTGTGAGGAGGTTCTCGCATTCTCTCGTCACCGGTACCCGGTCCACCTTCTCCGCTCGAACCCACCATGGAACACGAGTGCTCGACCAGGGTGTTCCTCGAAACCGACCTTCGACCAGGTTCCTCCGATATGGCGGCTGGCGAGGTTAGAATGTGCGCACTGATCGGCCCCCGCTCTAACCTCCTCGATTGCCTCTAGCCCTCTCTCGAAACCTCTCTCGCCAGACGCGTCCAACTGATCCCTTTCGATTTGTTTACCCCGTTTCTGCTCCCTCTGTTTTGGCGTGGTCGAGCACCTCGAGGTATCGCGAGCTTTCGAACGGCCCAGTTCACGAGTACATCGATTGAAAAGGAAAACGGGTCACGGGTGCCGTTGCTGCACTCGTTTCTGCCGTACACACGGAGCGCAGGTTCTTGAACCTCGCAGAAGAATACGCGATCCCGTACACACACGCCAGGCGAGCACCAGGTGGACACTCGAATATCGAATCGACGACGATGAATCGGAGGGCTAGGATAATGGCTACGTGCTCGTGTTTCCGACCTCCGATGGTTTGCTTTCGACTCTCCGGTCCGCGTAGACTTCCGGAGAGACGTTGATTCTTCGGGTTTCACAAAATACACTATCTCGTTTGGACGAACGAAAACCGATTCGAAGTCGAAGCACAGTCGATGCCTCCTCTCCGGTCAATCGAACTTCACAAAGCGTGATCGAACCGAACACGGGCTGGTTGATTTCGCGCGGATCCCTGCCACGTACGCGTGCCTCGG